CGAGGTTGTGGAGTCACTGTAGCAGGCAAATCCCCCATTAAAAATCCAGGTAAGAACTGGGCATTAACTCCTGGCTTTGGAGAGGTAGGTGAACCCAGCATCATTGGTTCAGATCCATGGCAAATGATGCCATCTGGACGGCGGCAACCCAAGACCTTCCAAATTTTCAAAAATGGTGGAAACATCTTCAACTACCTCCCCTGCACCCATGGGCAGGGCGCCTAGAAAGATATTCTTAAAACATAGTTGGTGACACTGTTCATTACAGGATATAGGTGCATCCTAGTTTTCCATTAGAAATGTCTTTTATACTACCATAGATTTAAAAGCTCTTACGTATATAAAAGATGCTCTTCTTCAGACAGAGCCAAACCTGTAATAATAAAAAGACCACAATGGTACTATGCCAGAACATAGTCTTCCATCTCTTGGCTAAGATATGAGAGGAAAATTGGTTCAAATTACAGTGCTTTTGTTAGTCTTTCTATGCTAACACATGAAAATTTTCTGGGTTTGGTCCCAATGGAGTCTCGTTTCTTTCTTTCAGAGAAATAAAGAAAATGTCTGGCTCTATTAAATGCAACACTTCCCAAGGTATGAAGATTTAAGATATGACCATAAAATAAGGGATACTACAGAGAGAGGTAAATTAGTCCTAGTTGCTCAAAATTTAGAGTTAAGAGAGGATGGGTGGTCATTTAGCCATTTTAATACTCTCCTTTGGATCAGCTTGATTTACCCTAAATTCCCACTAGATATTCTCCAAAACTGTCCTCTGACCAATCGCCATGGTTGTGCTGGTTCATCTCCCTGCTCTGGCATTCTCCATGATATCTGAACAACTGAAAATGAGCCCTTGTTGCCATGAGGTCCTGCATCATGGACAGCAGTACTGACTGATGTATATCTATTTGAGTGACAGTTTGGAGCTGAGCTAGACTGAGCTGCATCCTTAAATGAAACTAATTATACTGGCCTGTTTGTGATTGGTTAAGTGAGGTCTATATTTCTTTGTATTTTACCTGTCTTCTAATTCTTCAGCTTATCCCCAGGCAGCTGAGTCAAATATCCAAATCTTCCTTTCCATCAAGGTCACCGAAGTTACGAGACAGTACCAGCAGCCACCAGCAATAGGGTCCCAGAAAAGAATGCTTGTGTTGAAGAAAAAGTCCATCTACAGTCAGAAAATACTAGTATAGCAGCACACAGAGACAGAAAGCCATCGTTTTGTGTTCACAGATACTACATGATAACTCTCACTATCTAGAAATGGAGATAAAACCATACAGTGTCATATATATATAACGTCTTCTTAATTAACATGGCAAAGAACACTGACAGGGCTTGTTGGCAGATACAAGCATTGCCTACCCTTCCCCTCAGAAGCTGGATTCTGTGCCACAGTTCATCTAGTAACTAGCTGAGATCCATTCAAAATGAAGAGTCTTGATGTCCCAGAGCCCTGCCATATGCTATAACTCCATCTTCCATGGACTAAGTTACATACCATGAACATATCCAGCATTCTCCTCCATTTGTCCCAACCCCACGCAGCTCCTCAAATTGCTTGGTTCCATTTTCACATATGTACTTTTAATATCATGAGTGTGTTTGTTCACCCTTCCTCTCTCTATTATTTGCCCCCTTTCTCTTAACCTCCTCTCCAATTTGACAAAACATATTCCAGTTTTCTAGTATTGATTTTGCTAAAGGATAAGTTAGGTTTTCAAGGGCTTCTGCATCACCAAAGGGGTGACACTATTGGAATCCTCCCCTGTATATACCATATTTTGGTCAGTTTGTTTGTGTATAATGTACATGGCATAGTAATGATATGTAGGATTTCTCTTACTTTCTCTTGCTTTCCAGACCTTGCTTTCCAGACCTAAGAGAGACAGTAAGAATGTTGAAAAAGTCACTGACCTTCAGAAAACATGGCCTACTGAACACAGGTGTTTGCTTATAATGATTGCATTGATGAAGAAGTACACAGGAACAGTGAGTTTTAGGCTTGAGATACACAGCATTACCCTGGCAGAGAAAGAAGAGCAAGACAGATAAGGAAAGGGGGAAAATAGAGAAAGAGCGAGTGAGCAAGCGAGCGAGCGAGCGAGAGAGAGACAGAAAGAAGGAATAGAAGGGGGAGAAGAAGAAGTATAAGAAGGTGAGGGAGGAAAAGGAGGAGAAGGAAGGAAAATGGTATTGTACTTCTCAAGAAGAACACTTGAAAGCAAAAGACAATGTGGCAGTTTCTCCAAAATTCTGAGGGGAACAATTCAATATGTTTAATGATTAACATGGCGGAAGCATGCATCTCAGACATGTCATTGACATTATCTGTATATTTCTGTGAGTGTTTAAAATGAGAGCAACAATTAAATCAATGTGCTTTGAGTAAAGAAGACTACTCTCCATCAAGTGGGTGGGCTCTATCCAATGAGTTAATTTCTTAGTCTGAACAGAAAGACTTGAGCGCAACAAGGCAATTGGAAAAAAAGCCCTTTACATACAGGTTCTTCATCCTTTGCCATGCTCCTAGACATCACCTCACTATGGCTTTGATCACTTGCAAATGTACCCCCCTCCCCGGACATCATGTCATGGTCTATCACTACTATAGTACTGGAAGACTTGCATGTGAACAATGGGCTGATTGGACTGCAGAGGTGTATGCTGGATGAACATTGGGTCAGAGGGGATAAAACACATGAAGAACTGGTGCAGGCTTCCCTGTTAGCTTAAGAATCAAACAGCTCTCCCCCCCCTTGACATCTGATTAACACCCGCACAGTGAACCCCTTGGAAACAGTGCCCACCCTTGGGAACCCACTCGTCTAGCAGGAGCTCTGCCAATCTTTTTCTTCAATAAATCTGTGATGTTTTACTACTGTGGGCCACTATTCAAGGCCATAGAGACAAAAGACCTGATCCAGGTATTGCAGTTTTTGGTATCAGATTGACATTCTCCAAACAAATTGGGATCCAGAAACTCACTGCCAGTTCAGACAGCCATTCCTCAAACTTTTTCTTTGTTTTTGTTTTAATTTGTTGGTTGTGGGGCTTGAACTCAGGGCCTGGGTGCTGTACCCGAGCCTCTTATACTCAAGGTTAGTGCTCTACCACTTGAGCAACAGAGCCACTTCCGGTGTTGGGGTAGTTAATTGGAGACTTTCCTGCTCAAGCTGGCTTTGACCTTCAGATCTCAGTCTCCTGAGTAGCTAGGATTGCAGGCATGATCCACCCCAGTGCCCTTCTACTCCTCAGACTTTAATGGCAAGATCAGCATCTCAGGGAAGCATGTCAGCACAGTACACCTGGTGAACATACAGCATTCATAAGCACATGAACAAATCTTGCAAGCAGATTTCTTTCTATACATTTATGCTTACTATTAATTCTGTTTTTCCAAAGAACCGAGACTAACACAGTAAGCAAGGTATTAAAATATGAACAAATCGTTTAAATAGGGATACAGGTGGACCCATTGCAACAATGAGATGTCCAAGTCGTTATGTCGAAAAACGAACTTTACAACTTTCGTGCGGGGGGGTGGGGTGGGGGGTGCGGGGGGAGGATTGGGTGGGAAGGGATGGGAAGGGGAAACAAAGGAGGAGCTACAATGCTTGATAAGAAATGTACTCATTATCTTGCCCATGTAATTGTAACTCCTCTGTACAGTATTTTCACAATAAAAAAAAAGAAAGATGAGAAAGAAAACAAATAAATAAAATATGAACCTGCCATATACTTTTTCTTGGAAAACCACTGAAGAATATAGTCCACTGAAAAAAGAAAGGAGAAAGACACAGGACATGTGCTTCTAGGATATAAGGCAACCCTCAAGCTGAAGGAGAATGATGATTCCACGAGCTAGCTGTACCTCCAGCAAGAGAATAATTCATGCATGAGAAGCAGGGAAATGAGTGCTCCAGAAAGAGATGCCCGAGACAGACAGCAAGAGAGGAAAGGAACGAGAAAGAAGCCCATGAGGAAGGAAGAAGGCTTGATTCTTTGTGAAAGTTGGAACATTTGAGGACAAATTAATAAGAGACACAGTTGGCCTTCCATATTATGGGTAGGCTGGAGATCTATCAATACAGGCAACTACTGATGGAAAATATTGCCGAATAATTACATCTGTATTGAATAGGTAGACTTGTTTTTCTTGTCATTCTTCCCTAAATCACACGATGCAACAAACATTGCACACAGCATTTACATAGAAATGGGCATTATAAATCATCTAACAATGATTTTAATTATAGGAGGATGTGTATAGGTAATATGCAAATTATGCCATTTTATGTTAGGGACTTGAGCATGTTTGGAGTTTCCTATGAGGGGGAGAAGGGGAGGCTTTCGGAAATAATCCCTGTGGATACTTAGGGATGACTGTACATAAAAAGAAATCAACTAAAAAAAAAGGATGTTAATTATCTCTTGAGAAAATGAAATGCATCATAGAAAAAGATATATAATCACAGCACAATGTATGGTTCATTCCTAAAAAGGGAAGCAACAAACTGTGATCTTACCAAAAAAATCATGGCTTGTAAATTAGAAAATGGAGGAGAAGGAAGTCACGTTTAGCTAAATTATAACCTTTCAGAACGAGAAACCAACAAATAGCAAAATTCAGGAAACCAAGAAATATTAGGATAAGCATTTTGTAACAAATAATGAAGGTAATTACTTGGAAAAATAGCAGAAATGAAAGCAGTTCTGCCTAGGAAACTCTGCAGCAGGAGGTAGCCTATTTAAAATTAAAAGTCTGGCAAAGGTTTGAATGATACAAAGATAATTCACACTTGCATTTTTAAAGCATCAGTTTAAAAATGCTCAAACAGAAATTTTGGTGGTAAAAATTTTTTGCTGTCCTATTTTAGAATTTTCCTTCTATGACTATAAAATTTTATCACCTAAAGAAAGAAATGTTAAGAGTCACTAAGTTACTAAATCTGCACAGTGTTCATTCCTGAGTGTTAAAAATTCCTGTTTATATGCTCACTTGGACAGCACATATTCTAAAATTGGAATGACATAGAGAAGATTGGCATGGCTCCTGCCCAAGGACGACAAATTTGTGAAGCGTTCCATTTAAATTTTTTTTATTTTAATTCAATTTTTTCTTTTTCCGTTTGGTTTATGCTCAGTAGTCACTGTATTTTATTTTGGCACCCTGCATCTTGTATATACGTTTATCTGATTTGGGGATGGGAATAACCAAATGGTGAAATAAGGACAAAAGGTGAACCAATGTAACAGTGATATTCACAAGACACTAGAAATGAACTTCACAACTTGGGGGGGAGGAGGAGCGGGAGGAAAGGGATAGTGGGAGAAAAACAAAGGAGTGGGTAACAATGTTTCACAAGAAATGTATTCATTACCTTACTTATGTAACTGTAACTGTAATCCCTCTGAACAGCATCTTTGCAACAAAATAAAATCAAATTTAAAAACTTCTGTTTACAAAGACAAATGTACATCTGTTTCAGAATTCAAAGAACTTTTTAATTCACTGGAGTTGAATTATCTCATTTCTGATGCTATATTATGGATCATTTTTCATCTTGCTCTCATCATATTTATAACTAGAAAGGGTCTCCCTCTGAGAAGTCTGAAATTGTCCTTATAGAAAAATGATCCCAATTTCCTTCTTCTGACTTTTAACCCTTCCTAAACATTTTATTCTTTTTTCCTTCTTACATAAGGTAACCCTTGTGTATCTTAGGTGAGGAGAAGCTAACGTTGGCTTTGCTACCCATTCTTTATACAGACAAGCCCAGGAGCTGAGCAGCAATGAGAGACATGTTCAGGGTATTTTCCAGATGCCAATGATGAGTTGATTGATTAATCCAGTGTGCTGCTCAGAGAATCTAATGTCAGAATCAAGTGGTAGCACAAGGAAGCCAGAGTGTGTTTTGGCAGAAAAGTTGAAGGCTTCACAAAAGAGGAGAAGAAACTTGGCTAAGAGCTTTATCTTCACCTAATTCTGTAACTGGTTTTACCCCTTATAGCAAGACTGAGTTGTCTCTTTCTTTAATACTCTTTTACTCTTTTTTGTGTGTGTCATAGTCTATTTATTCAAGAGACATCAAAAAATTAAATAACAATTATCTGAATAGGGAAATGATTTTTAAATATATTCAAATTCCAGTGATGATAGCTGTACTAAATTTCCAAGTCTTTTACATTGGTAACACACTCTTCATGATAAAAACTGTACTAGGAGCCAGTCCCAGTGGCTTGTGCCTGTAATCCTACCTATTCAGAAGGCTAAGATCTGAGGATCCCAATTCAAAGCCAGCCCAGGTATAGAAGTCCCTGTAAGAGTCTTCTATCCAATTAACCACTCAAAAACTCAAAAAAAAAAAAAAAGTAATGGCTCAAAGTGGTAGAGCTCTAGCCTGGAGCTCAAGAACTCAGGGACAGTGCCCAGGCCCTGAGTTCAAGCCCCACAACTAATAAAATAAAACTGCATTAGGGTAATAATATTTTTTAAATGAAAACTTTTATTTTTATTATAGAGAATAATTAAGATTGTAGTACCTTCTTTGATTAGTGAGTTGGAACAACAGAAAAGCAGAGAAAACACAGATGCTCAGCATGAAGACATAGGTTTATACATCTACAAAAATCATAATTGTAAAGGAGATAAAGTGAGCACACAGAAGCCAGGCAAGTATGACGAGTCACTAAAAGTAATTAAAACAGACTGTTTTATCTACCTTTTACCTACTTAGAGTTTTCAAGTCTCTAAACCACACTATATCATAAGCTGTTGCTTTAGACAAATAGACTTCCTGTCCCATGTAGAAGTGACTGTCATATACAGACTCATTAGTAACATTGATTCAGGAGAAAGATCACCCATAATTGAATCCTAGCACCATTTGCAGACTCCACAGCCTTGTGAAAACTCTTCATTCAACCTTTTAGAGGCTACATAGTCATAACAAAGACCCTGTAGGTTATTTAAACTGACATAGTTTGTAAACTCTATTGCACTTTAAACTGATAACATTTGGCATTATGATTATACACAAACGAGTCCTACAATACAACAGCCATGGATTTCTAATTTCAGGACTTTGGGGAAGTTTCTCCAGCTATAAGTTGTCTTGTCAATTTTAGGAGAAAAGAGTATTTTTTCCCAAAAAACAAGATCTTTGTATTGGTTCTATCATCCTTATTGATATAAATAAGTCTCTTGTTGCTATTGACTTCCTATCCTTCACTGCTGCTAAATGTTTCTTTCTTGTTCTCTGCTTACTTCATTTGTTCTTAAGTTATGTGCTGTTATCTCCCATTTAGAATGCCCTCTGGAACCCAATACAGTTCACATTTGGTTAATTATTTGTATAATATATGCAAACTATTACAAATATGAGGCCTATTAACATTGAACATCTTTATAGATCCTATATAATAACAGTTGTATTCCTAGAATTCTTTGAATGAAAGACAAATGATACTTAGCAAAAGCTTGCAAAAGCTCTCAACTGAAGACAACTTCTACTGCTGTGGTTTCTATCCTGCTTTCTATTTCTTATTCTCTCTGGTTCTACTGGAAAATTTTAAAAGATATATCTCGTATTTTAGCAGGAAATATCACTTTGTACCTAAATAAAAAATGACTAATGCACTTAAAGTGTGAATTTGTAATCTTTCTCTTGTTGACAGATGCAGACAACATCAGCAATGCAGTTTGCCAGTTACTAATAAAGGAAAAGATGCAATGTGATTTTAACCTAGTCTTACTTAATTCTGAACCCAAACTAAGCTTGTTAGAAACCATTAATTGCAGGAGCTTAGATTACATCTGATAATATGAGTTAAAAAAAGATTTATTTCCTATAAAAACTAAATTACATTTCATATCTGTTTTCTTTAAGTGACTAATGACTAATCTCAAGCCAAATGTGGTGGCACAGATTTATAATGGAAATTATTTAGGAGGTTAAGGAAGGAGAATCTATGACTCAGGTTGACACAAACAAAAAGCTTAGATTCTATTTGAAAAACATTGTAAAAGTAAAAGGAGTAGAGGCATGGCTCAAGTGGTAGAATGCTTGACTAACAAGCTTGATGTCCTGAGTTCAATCCCCATTACTAAAACAATAAATATGTATGGAATCCTCTGTGTGAGCTATATAAAATGGGAGAGGTAATATATTTGTTCTTTCACTGGGATAGAAAGTATTATGCTCTTGATGTGAATTTTGTAACATTATCACTTCTCAAAACCCAAATGAACCCTTCTCAAGCCAGTTGCCTTTATTTCTACTTTTAAATATTAGAATAAAATCAACTGACCCTGGGTAGAGAAGATGTTAGATAAATGTTTAAAATTTATGAGGCTGGGAATGTGGCTTAGTGGTAGAATGCTTGCCTAGCATGCATGAAGCCCTGGGTTTGATTCCTCAGTACCACAGAAAAGGCTGGAAGTGGCACTGTGGCTCAAGTGGTAGAGTGCGAGCCTTGAGCAAAAGAAGCTCAAGGACAGAGCCCAGACCCTGAGTTCAAGCCCCTGGACTGGCAAAAAAAAGAGTTCAATAAAATTTATCAGTTATATATTCCAAATCTCTCCACAATGCAACAATCAGGTAGCTGAAAGGTTATGACTGTATAGAAACCTATTTTCAAAAGCAAGTTCTGAGAATTATTAAGCCTCAGAATGCCAGAAGAGAAAGAGGCAAGGATGGAAAGGGAAAGAGAGGGGTAAAAAGGGTAGAGAAAGAGAACAGAGGAGAGGAGAGGCAGCAAAAGGAATAAAAAGAATGGTGTAAGGTCTTAAGGAAAGTAGTAATGGGAATTCTGTTGCTGTTGGGTTTTTTTGTTTGAATGTCTCATCGATGATTGCCTTGCTAGACTATCTGATTTTGATGTAAAACAAAGGTAAGGCATTTGTTCTCATGTATTAGATAAGCCTACTAATTAAATAAACATGGTTTAAAGACAGAGTCAATAAACATAGCTTTAATAAAGCCTGTGCTTGTGTGTGTGTGTGTGTGTGTGTGTGTGTGTGTGTGTGTGTTTTCTCACGCACGCGCATGCGCGTGTGATCTGATTTTTCCATATCCCACCACAAGGTGGAGTCCAAGTTTCCAGTTCCTGAATCTTGGCAGTCCTGAATCAAAGCAATCATAATTGCTTTGACCAATAGGATATGATAAAAGTGAACTTATGCTGATGTCAGGCACTGCCCTTAACTGACCTGACATCCCTGCTTTTTGCCTATGGACACCAGCTGCTATTTAGGGAGTGCAGGGACTCTGAGATCATCATGCTGCAAGAAGGCCAGGCCAAGCCTTGCAGACAAAGCCACAGAGCATGCAACAGCTCAGGAAGACTAAGTGAGGTCAAGGAGCCCTGAGGAGCCAGGCATGCGATGACAAAGCTTCCTCCAGCTCGGTGAGACCAGCTAACCACAGGAACCAGAGATAAAGTACCCAACTGAGCCTCTTTCTAAGTTTCTGACCCTAAAATAGCAGGAGCAAAATTAAATCACTACTTCAAATAATAAATTTAGGTCTGGATTATTAAGTGGTAATAGATTAATACAACAGTATGTGTCCTTGAGACTCACTCTGGGCTTCCACACTGAACAAAATGTTTATCTTTATGATCATCTGATCATCACCAACATTGTCATCATGTTAGTTCTCAAAAGATAGAAAATAAGTGGCTAGAGAACTGGTTATGACCACAGGTTGTTGGGGTTCATAGAGTTTTATTTAAATCCTTATTCAGTCACTTAGCAATTATGTACCATTGGGCAAGTCACATAATTTTTCTAAAGTTCAATGGACTTGCTGTAAAATAGGAACACTGCTAGACACTGTTTACCCTACTTATATAATACATTTGTAATGGATATTGAGATTAATATCTTTTATGAAATAATTCCATACAATTCCAAGCACAATATTTTTTAAAGATGACTTATGCTGAAATATTTTGTTTGTTTTTGTCATTAGCACTTTGGGGGCTTGAACTTAAGGCCTTGAACTGGTTTGACAGATGTTGTACCATATGAGCCACATATCCTCTCCCTCCCCCCTCCTGAGGTTTTTGTTTTGTTTTGTTTTCTTGTTTTTGTTTT